AAGAAAATAAAAAATAAATCTAAAAAATAAATAAAATGTAAATATGCTATTATTCAGCAATTCCATTCCTTGGTATATTCTATTAGAAATAAGTGCTTATGTTCACCAAAAGACAAGCATAATAATGTTTATAGAAATTTTATTCGCAACGGCTCCAAAGTGTAAACAACTCAAATGTCCATCAATGGTAGAAAGGATAAAAAAAAATTGTGGAATATTTGTATAATGGAATATTGCCAAACAATAAAAATGAAATACTAATCTATGCAACAACATGGATGAATCTTCTACACATAATGTTAAATAAAAGATGTAGGCATAAAAGAGGTTATACCGTAAGATTTCATTTATATGAAGTTCGAAAGAGGCAAAACTGATTAACAGTGATAAAAGTTCGAATAATACCTTGGCGGGGAGGGGTGGTTACTACTAAGAGAGGCCATATGGACGTTTTGCGGGGTGCTGGAAATGTTCTGTATTTTGATGCAGGTTGTATTTGCATAAGTTTATACATATATAAAAATTCACCAAGCTGTAAACTTCTAGTGCATTTTAAATTATTATCTAAAAGTCACACTTGGATAGAGAAGCACTGCCTTACAGTTTCAGTATTTCTCAAACCAGATGATTAAAAGTGGAGTCTTCAATTTCGGAAACTTCCTTTTCTGGCCCAAGACTACTTACCTTCGATGATTTGGTCAACATATTTAAAGGCTTGCTCCCCATTTCCTTGCTCAATTTTTTTCTCAGCAGACAGAAAAGAATTGTGCTCTATGGCTTGCTGCAATGAAAAAACAAACCAACCAAAAAATATTTTTTGGCATTCTAATAAGCCATTTGTCCCCCATCAAAATTCCATTCTCCTGCTTAAGCAGATCTTTACATACCAAGATACCCAGAGCCAGAGAGCATGAAGAGTTAGCAGAGAGTGGATGCAAATGCATTACAGGTGTTGGTAACTCACTAATTTTGTTCAGTGCTTTGGGGAAGAATCGAAGGTCATACAAGGGTATACAGACATGGTCCCACCTCTAGATGGCTGAGTGACGATCTGAGGCAGTTTGGTATTTAGGTGCCAACTCTGGGGTACACAACAGAGTAAAGAGAGGTCAAGAAGGAATGGGCTGGTGGGGCCCGGAGTGCGTAGAAATGGCCTCATCTAGGTGACCTCAGTTGGATCCTGAATCATTTAAGTCAATGACACATTATGAAACAATAGTTTGAGGTTGAAACTAACCTGAGGGGCCAAAAGGAGGACAAGGCCAGATTGGCTGGGATGCAAGTTTTCTATCAAGAAACAGAAGCAGAAGATGAGTTTGGAAAGGTGGATGGAGGTGGATGGATGGAGGCTAGACTATGAACTGAAGAGTCTGAACCTTATCTAAGGGGCACTCTTGAGTAGGAACAGTGATCTGATGAACTTAGTGGCTTAGAAAAGTTAACGTGGTAGATAGATGGGCTGAAATGGAAGTCAAAAACCTCTTTGAGTGGTTATTGTAGTAAATTTGACAAGAAGATAGTGAGAACTGGGCTGGAGGGTGGAGTGAAAATGAGTGGAAAGAAAGGGGCAGACTTAAGGGGCATTTAAAGGATAACAGGGAAAGACGTGAACTTGGCAACTGTTGGGAAGAAGAAGCGAGACTCAGAGAGGATGCTCAAGACTGCAACCTACTTGGGGGGTTCATATTGCTTATGCATCCATCTACCCACCCATCCCTCCATCCCTCCGTCTTCCAACACCTATTATTGAGAGTCAGCCGTAGGTTTAGAGCTTCACTAGGCATTGGGAATGTAAAACATAATACACCATGTCCTTCCCTCCTTCATAACAACAGCTAAAACAAAAACGGCAGCTAACGCTTATTGAATGCATTCCCTGTCCTAGGTGCTATTCTAAGCATTTTACTTGGATTCTCTCATTCAAACCTCACAATGACCTTTTGGTATAGGTACTTTCATGGTTCCCATTTATTCTACAGATGAGGAAACTGAGGTATGAGGAGTTTAAGTAATTTGCCAAAGAGGAGTTTAAGTAATTTGCCAAGGCTTTTGTTGCTATTAAGAGGTTACTAGGCCGGGCGCAGTGGCTCACGCCTGTAATCCTAGCACTCTGGGAGGCCAAGGCGGGCGGATTGTTTGAGCTCAGGAGTTCGAGACCAGCC